CAGTCATGGTAACTTGAGTTGTAGTTGTCCCTGTTGTAGTTGAAACGGGAGTTGTTGTTGATCCAGTTGTAGTTGACCCAGCGGTTGTTATTGTCCCTGTTGTAGTTGACCCAGGAGCTGTTGTTGACCCACTTGTAGTTGACTGAGCAGCTTTAGGTGACCCAGTTGTAGTTGGCCCAGTATTTATAGTTGTCACAGTCATAGTTGACTCAGAAGTCATCTTTGACCAAGCAGTTGTTGTTGACCCTGGTGTAGTTGACTGAGTGGATCCAGCATTTGGATGCAGGACACATAACCCTAGTGACGGGGCTGCATCAAGGGGCTCTTTTATCGCGCCCATTTTTAGCATTTCAGCCAATTCTTTTTAAACAATTTTCTCAGATAACCTGTAACGTCATGCACCTTCACATAAGGCCACCTTTCAAATAGTGTTCTATGAGATTAGTAGGAACGGTCAGCTGGAAGAACACATCTGCAAAACAACATTGGAATGCAGAAACATTCACTCTGTGGGCCTGTGTGAGATGATCATCACAATGGAGTGAGGGGTTAATGATGAAATTTTGAACCTCTGGCCAAACTCATCTCTCCCCTTCACCAGACTCACCAGAGAAGTGATTTCAGCCTCTCTCTATGCTTTGAGGAGGTCAAGGTGATACACCTGGTTGACTGCTCCCGTGTCCAACTGTGCCACTTCATAGTTAAGGTATTTGTAATGTAGCAGCCTGACTTCTGTGTCATTATCAGGAAGTACAGAATGAATTGTTGTTGAACAGGACTGCATTATCACTGATCAACAGAAAAGATTCCCATGAGCCTGTAACTAAACATGGTTCCTTATCTTTTCTTTTTTTTTTCCGTACCAGCACAAAAATTAGGCGCACCCAAATTTTTCAACTGCTTAACGCCGCAGTTTGGCATGTTCACTTTTTTGGGGGGAAATTGCTGTACATCAGACAATATTGATTTGTAAATGATTAACAACCTTTTTTTTTTTAACACAAAGTTCTTTATTTGGAGCACAGTTCTACAGGAAAGATAAGTTAACCATCTTCACTTCCTGCTTTCTCTTGGGGCATTTTCCCTTCATTTTGTCTTCAGCAAGTGAAATGTACACTCAATTGGATTCCGGTCAGGTGATTGACTTGGCCATTGCAAAACAGTCCACTTCTTTCCCTTCAAAAACTCTTTGGTTGCTTTTGCAGTATGCTTTGGGTCATTGTCATCTGCACTGTGAAACCCCATCCAATGAGTTCTGAAGCATTTGGCTGAATATGAGCAGATAATATTGCCTGAAACCATTCAGAATTTATCGTGCTGCTTTTGTCGGTAGTCACACATCAATAAATAGAAGAGAACCAGTTCCACTGGCAGCCATATATGCTCACGCCATTACACTTCCACCACAATGCTTCATTGATGAGGTGGTATGCTTAGGATCATGAGCAGTTTCTTTCCTTCTCCATACTCTTCTCTTCCCATCATTCTGGTACAAGTTTATCTTGGTCTCATCTGTCCATAGTATGTTGTTCCAGAACTGTGAAGGCTTTTTTAGATGTCGTTTGGCAAACTCTAATCTGGTCTTCCTGTTTTGGGGGCTCACCAATGGTTTACATCTTGTGGTGAACCCTCTGTATTCACACTGGTGGAGTCTTCTCTTGATTATTGACTGACACACACACACACACACACCTACCTCCTGGAGAGTGTTCTTGATCTGGCCAACTTTTGTGAACTGTGTTTTCTTCACCAGGGAAAGGATTTTTCAGTCACCCACCACAGTTGTTTTCCGTTGTCTTCCGGGTCTTTTGGTGTTGCTGAACTCACCGGTGCGTTCCCTCTTTTCGAGAATGTTCCAAACAGTTGTTTTGCCACGCAAAATGTTTTTGCTATCTCTCTGATGGGTTTGTTTTGTTTTTTCAACGTAATGATGGCTTGCTTCACTGATAGTGAGAGCTCTTTGGATCTCATCTTGTCAGCTGACAGCAACAGATTCCAAATGCAAATAGCACACTTGAAATGAACTCTGGACCTTTTATATGGTCATTGTAATTGGGATAATGAGGGGAATACCACACACCTGGCATCGGACAGCTGAGAAGCCAATTGTCCCATTACTTTTGGTCCCTTAACAAGTGGGAGGCACATATACAAACTGTTTTAATTCCTACACCTTTCACCTGATTTGCATGTAAATACCCTCAAATAAGAGCTGACAGTCTGCAGTTAAAGCACATCGTTTAATTTGAAATCCATTGTGGTGGTAGAGTCAAAAATGTTAGAATTGTGTCGATGTCCCAATATTTATGGACCTGACTGTATATATATATATAAACACCCAGCACGCCCCTGCGGGCGGTTTATCCTTCAAGCTCGGGTCCTCTACCAGAGGCCTGGGAGCTTGAGGGTCCTGCGCAGTATCTTAGCTGTTCCCAGGACTGCGCTCTTCTGGACAGAGATCTC